TGGGCTCAATCCAGACCTTGGATTTAGGGCTGGGTGAGACTGGAGCTGTGTGTGGAGCTGCAGATGGAGGATGGAGCTATCCAAGAGGATGACTCTGCACTTTGCACAGAAGTTTCCAACATGGCCACACACATTCCTAGGAGCAGGAACCAGAACACAAGGTTGTCCCCCTTAAACACCCCAACTGCTGAACACCTCTGATAGCCTCCATCTCTGGGAAGGGCCATGTGGGAGCAGCCACACAACGTGGGTACAAATGGAACACTCTCAGCTTCTCTCACAACTGACAAACAAACTAACAAAAAAGCTGGGCTTTTTCAGGTGTCAGCACATCAGTGCCTGTAATGTTTCTTGGGGTTCTGTACAGCTCCTAGAAAACAGCAGGTAAGATATTTAAATAGGGAAAGGTTTAAGAGTTATGGGTACTGGTACTTTAATTTTGGAGGTTTTTTCCCCAAATTGCACCAACCTCAGCAGGGGCTATACAGAAAGGACAGTCAAAACTTCCATTGTCTGCAATGTTTAAGATAGCTGTCTTTCTTAGGCATAATAAAATCAAATCAAGAATTATTTCAGTTTCTTGTTTCTGAACACAAAGATCTTGCAAACCTCCTTGTTTTAGCCTAAATGTAGAACAAGGAGAATGATGTGTAGATGAGATCTTGTGCTCTCAGTGCAGCTTCAGGACCTGTAGGAAAACCCCAAAAACAGAGCAAACTGCTGGGATCCACAGGCTGCCCAAGCTCACCGTGCTTGAGCTTTTGGCCTGCAGTGACTGATAACCAGCTTTAGAGCTGATAAGCTTTAAAAATCTATTTCTCCCTGCCATGTGCACAGCAGCAGAACAGTTCAAAGCTTGCAGACTTCAATTTACTGAAAGTTCTTCGAGTCTACAGTTGACTCGCATCACTGCATTGTTCAACTCCTGGGCATTCTGCAAACCGTGTCTGCCTTTGAAGGCTTTTTTGCCTGATTGAGTTTGGACATAAGCCACCAAGCAGGATTTGGGTGGGATGTAGATCTTCAGGAAGACCTAATTATGCTGAATGGAGAGCATGATCACACCCACTTCTCTGAAACCTGCTCAGCAACCACTATCTTCTGTAAGCACACAGTTACACTGAAAAGAAATGGATAAACTCCAGAGATTCAACAAGGCTGGCAGAGCTACACTGTTGGTATTGCAGGACACAGGGTAGTTTCTAAAATCCATGATAGAATTCTCCACTAGTCTCTTGGAATCTTTGCCACTTATGAACACGCTAAAACATTTGGAGGTGAAAGCATAGGAGGTTTGGCTGAAGACATCTGAAAGGGGAAAGCAGTTCACTTCTTGGACACTGCTTTGAGCCCCCCTGGAAAAAGAAGTCCAGGAGAAACTGATGGCAGAAAGAAATTGCAGGGGACAAAAAAAGTACAAAATTGTAGTGGAAGGTACATTTTCATCCAACTCTGTGCTGTCTAAGGAAACTCCCCAAGCCCCTGCTATGTTCCTTTGCTCTTCTGATGTGCAGAGCCAAGTGCCCCCTGCACTGCATTGCCTGGGCACAAATAACATATTTGCCTCATGTACATCCTGGAGCATTGCACAATTAATGCAAAGTGGCACTCACCCTTCTGACCCCTCAGTGAAGAGAAACTGGACAAGGACAAAAGCTGCAGAGTGACTGTGACCTGGCTTTTGTTTCCACCCCCACACAGTGAATCCCCTCACAAGGTCTGGGGCAGAGGCTCTGCATGGGGGAGTCACTCCCATGGTAACTCCAAGTGTTTGCACTGGGGGGGCTCTTCAGCTACTGCTGCACTCTGCTAAACATCATGTGGCATTTTTCCATCATGGAAATAAAGCCTCATTCTTACTCCTCACTGATCAGACACGCTTCTGTGGTAGGTTGCACCAGCAAGAGATGAAATAGCTGGAAGTTTTACCTCGTGGCTTGTAATACAGCAGGGCTCACTTTGTGTAACTATCACTGAGGGAGCATATTTCAAATAATTGTTGCACAATCTCCACTGGAATCTAATTTGCAATTGTAATAATTTCCTTTGAAATTATTATAAATTCCTCGTTCTTCTAAGAGCCATCCTCAGCCAGGACTGCACCTTGGGAATAATGCTGCCACTCAGAGAGAGTAAGAAGTGAGCACATCCAGCCTCAAAGGCCTGGACACACACAAAGCCCTGCTGCAGTCCCAGAAGCTGCTCAGTGACCAAGCTATTCAAGAAACCCCAGTCTAATATCAGATAAAATAGAAAACAAAAGACATGCCTTCATTTCTCATCAAAATGATACTAAATATTTAGGACTACTTAAATGGTCCTTATTCATCACCATGCAGCACACAAGGCCTAAGCTTTTGAAGACTGTTTATAGGTGTGGTTTTTAGGAGGGCAGGAGTACACAGGCAAACCCACTGCCTACCAGTGAAAAGGGGGTTTCAATATTGTAACAGCTGAACTGGGAACTGCAAGGCACGCACATAAATGTGAAGAAATAAGAACTGCAATGAGCAGCACAGGTGTATCAGCAGAACAGGGATAAATAAGTGAGCAGACAAGCAGTGAAGCTGGGTCCATCATGCTGGGAAAGCAAAGAGCTCGTGTCCCACAGCAAGGCCACCAAGAGCAGTGCTATGGGGGACCAGCCCCACCTTCAGCACCTTTCTCCTCTCTCCTGGTGAGCAGATTTGGAAAGCAAAGCTCCAAGTAGAGCACTGCATACCATGCTGGAGCACGTTTCCAGGACTTCCTATTCTTGGCTTGTCACAAATAAGGAATGTGCTTGCTACAAGTACAAGAACAACACAATTCATCTCCTCTTAAAGGCAAGGATACATTAGTATTGTAGGCACTAATAAACCAGGCTCTGAATATCCATAGACAGAAAAAGAACTCTTACTGGGTCATTTATCAACACTCTGCCTCCAACAAGGTGAAAAGGATATTATCTAAATATTAACAAAGTCAGAAGTGCTAGAACTGGACCTGGATTGGGCCCAGCTGACACACAGACAGCTCCTGCCCCAGCTGCCTGCTCAGGGCAGAGCTCATGGACAGAGCAGGCAGGCAGCTCCAGGGTTTGCTGGCTCTGTGTGTGCAAATCACAGCAAATGTGAACTCCTTTACAAGTTTCCCTAAGGTACTCCTAAAGAGGATACCTTCTGGGGAGGCTTTCCTCTCTCTTGTTGCACCACTGAAGGCCCAGACACAAATGTGAATTCCCCTGTCCCTCTGGGTGCCATCACTGGCTGTTGGAATGCTGGGCAGAGGAAGAGAACACATTCAGCACTTCCAGAAACATTTAATGTTGCAACAGCCACATACACCTGGGTCCACATGACTGGATTTTTTCCCCCTTCAACTTCTCTTTGACATAAAAATCACCTAATTATTACTGCCCTTTGCATTATACAGAGCTATTGAAGAACTTGCCAGGGAAGAAGCTTCTGTTGATTTTTATTTTTTAATTGGGTGATAAAAATACTTCTATCTATAACACTGGTGTGATGAACCGTTTCAAATGCATCTTCTAAAAAAGAATCCAGGATGAGTGGATGTTCAGTGGATGACAGCTCAGCAGCTGAAAAGACTGACAATGAAATTGTGAGAGGGGCAAGCATTTGTACCTGCAAATCATTGCAAGGAAACCAAATTTTCTTAACTCCCACAATTACACTTTTCCCAACATCCAAACTAAGCAACTCTCAACCCTGCTATGCATTGAGCTAACTCTCAGTTACACTGCAGATAACACCTCCCAAAAGGACAGCATTCTGAGCCAGGGCCAGAAAACATCCGAATAAGTGTAGCTTTTTCAGCTGCATATGATCATGTACTTCTAAAATGGAAAACAGTCTGTCAGAGTTTGCTTTGAATTTTTACAGTGTGTAACACAGTGTTACTAGAGCACAGTTACTCCCACTGCATCTTTCTCTAGCTCTGCATGGTTTAAGCCCACTCAGCTTTTACAGCCACTACTTCCCTGGGCAGATTCCTCAGGCAGTGCTGCCAAAACTTTACAAGCTGTTCTTGTGCTCGACTACCACGACTCACGAGATAACTCTGAATGGAAAGAAAATGGCCCTGATCATGTCCTTATGGAGTGCATAGATTAAGTCTCCCCACTGGGAGACTGCAAGAAAAGCAGCCATTCAGACTGGTCACCCCTGACTTAATTAGAAGTCTGACTTAGTAATTAAAAATTAAAAAAAAAAAAAAAAAGAAAGAAAAGAGAAAGAGAATGTGCTTAGCAACCAGTCTTTTGCTTTCAGACATTACTAAATCTAGAAAATCTTCCAAATTCTCTTAAAGCAAGTTTTATTTTCAAGAGTAGCAACAGCAACTGTTCACATGTTTGAAGCCTCTGGGAATTGCCAGCATGACCTGCAGCTCCAGTGCCAAGGGAAGGTGGCAGAGAAGAGAACACATCCCACACCTCACCTGGGAGCTGAGGAGAGCTCCAGGGTGTGCTGGGCTGGAGCTAGGCATGCTTTTGGGATTTTGGGATGGCAGGAGAGGGATACAGACAGCAATGGCCTGGGAAACAAAAGCAAGCATGTTAGGATAGATGTGGCAGAACAAGGAACAAGCAGGGAGAAGCAAATACAGGCTGGCACAGCCCATGCAGTGGCCTAGGAAGGTGGATATTTTCAGTACAAATTGGACACAGAACAAAGGATATTGTAATAAAGATGCTCTGAAATAAACACAGGCTGAATGGGGTTTGTAGTAAGGCAGATGGAAAGAAGGGAAATGCTTGGAGACCAGCAAGATTAAGAGCCTGAATGCAATAGAAAGGGGTCAGAATAGAAATGACCACACCACTCTTGTTACAGGGCAGAGGAACAGACATGCTGGCAATGACATTCTAGTGACTGAGAGGGGAGGTGTTTGGGCTCCTGAAATTACTTGAATGCTTTTTGGTTTTGTGGTGTCATGGTTTTGAGCTGAAAATTTGACAGCCATGGATAACAGAATAACAGGGAATGGCCATTTGGGCACTATGTGGGCTGGAAGAGAGAATAAGGGAAAAACATTCAGAGAAATACCCCTAGAAAAGTCAAGGAAACAGGAGAGGAAACAGGTACAGGTGAGCCGTGGGACCTGAAGCAGGTGAGGTCAGAGGAAGCTGCATGAAGCCAGTGAAACAGATAACGTGGATGAGAAGGGGATGAATCACAGGACAAGGTGAGTGACAAGGTGAATATGGGAACATGGAGTAGAGGAAGATGCCTATGTACAAAGCTGGAAAAGCATTAACAGACAATCCCTGTAAGAGTTTCTACAAGAGGTGGCTGGAGAGGGGAGGGGGAACATGGCCAAGCTTTATTTTTCTGGTTGTTTCTAGACCACTAGTCCCCCTTCTTTCTGGCTGTACAGAAGTTTATAAGAAAGCAATGTAGTTTTGGGCTGTCTCAGATATTCTGTTGAGCCCACAGCATTCCTTTACCTGCCACCTTTAAAATAATGCATTTAGTTACAGAGCAGTGTTCTGACCCTTCTCTTACTGCTCAGCATCCTCACCTCTTACAGAATATACCAATCTTGTGGTGGCAGAGAACAGGAAAACTGCTTTCAAGTATCAGGTCTCTATAGTTCAAAACCAGAAAAACTGTTTCCAAGTGACAGGTCTCCAAAGTTCTTCCAGGCTGGTCTGTAGTAATGTTAATTTGGGAGTCCTCCTTCATTGCCTTCTGATGTGAGTATAGGAGCCACAGGAGGGCTGGAGAGAAGAATAAGCTCCATAGATGAGAACAAGTTCCATAAGAATGAGAAAAGCCATAAGAGAATAAAGACATACATAAGCTGTTTATAAGAATGAGGCTAGGCATTCCTATGTCTTACATGACAAAAAAGCAGGGCAGAAATTTTACTTGGTTAAGCAGCCTTCTGAGGTGATATCTCCCCTGGTACCTCTGTTTCAGCCAGAAGGCTGAAAAAAATGCAACAGAACAATACACCCTGAAGATCAAACCTTGATGGGCTGTTCTCCAAAAACTGCCCCCAAAATTAGTAAGAATCTAAGACACAGCTCAGAAGCAAACCTGGTGAGTGGTTGTTAAGATAATCAGAGAGGTGAGCATGGGTTATCAAGCCCCAGTAGTAAATGAACAAGGTGCCCCTCTGCCTTACTAGCAAAGCATGCACTAGGGACAGAGGAATGTGGAAAAAACAGGGCATTCATCTGTATTGGATAGCTCACACACCCTGCCTTCATTTCATAAAACCTGTTGACACAGAGACTTGCCAGCAGCAAGTCAGTGGAACAGCCAGAAACAGGATCTCCTCTAGAGATCACAGATAACATCAGCTAGAAGGAGAACTGAAAAAAACAATCCCCACAGCACCTTTCTAGGTCACTGTTCCCCGTAATCCAAAACTTGAAGGAAGAAGCTGAGCTCGATGTCCCCTGAGGCCTGGGGACAGCCTGACCAGGGGCACAGGAGCTGTGTGGGACAGCCCCACTGCTGGGGACAAAGGCTGCTCTGTTCCCTGCCCATGGAGCCTTCCCGGTGGGAGCAACGGGGTCACTGCAGGAACATTTCCTCCTTTTGCTGCAAGGGGAGAATGAGTGACCTGGCTCTCCCAGGGCACCCAGGAGGGCTGGCCCCAAGTGCCCCAGAGAGAGGGGGAGCCTTCCCACGAGCCTCAGGAGGAGCAGGGCTGGCATTTGAGCAGCTTCATTACTGTTGTTGATCTTTCTGCTTTCACCAGAGTGGGAAAATCAAGCTGCAAGGAATATGGCAGTGCCTTGACTCTGTTAAACCATGGCCAAACTTTTTGCTAACTCAGCCCCTAACTTACCAAGTGTAGGACAAGGGGCCTTGGTCCCCTACTTGATGGGGAAGATCTCTTGAGGGATTAACAGTGCTCTTTGAAGGGTCAAAAGAGTCAGGAGGGATTTTATTTTTCCACCACTGGGATCAACTGTCTTTGGAGAATTAGGAAAATTCTTTGCAGAGAAAAGCTGCACCAAATCAGGATTTGGAGAAGAGAACAAATCCAAGAAATGTTCTGATATCAAAACCATGCTGAGAGGAACCTGAGACAAGTATGGTATAAAATGAGAGATATTCACTTCCCTGTCTCCATGCAAACACTTAAGCCTGGAATAGCCTCTGCAATAAACTCGACTCTACCCAGCATTCCTACTCTCTCACATTCCTTCTTTATCCCCTGCTCTCAGTAAATCTTTGTACTCCAATATCCACTTGCTTATTGCTCTGTTATCCAACCCAGGTGTTTCTTGAACTGCTAAACTGGAGTATGGACATCCCCAAACCTATTTTTAAAATAAAGACATTGGCAGAGCAAATTGTAACACCAAGATTCTGCAAAACAGACTTGTCTTTGCACACTGTCAGGCTCCTGTTTCAAGCAGTGGTTACAGCAGTTTATTACACTTCTGAACCAAAATCTTTGTAGGGCTGCAAGTATCACAGTGCTTCTAATGCTCTTCCTCCCATAAAACAGCACTGGAGAGTTAGGTACCAAGCCAAGATCCCTACAAGCCAAACAAGGAGCTCCTGAGGACAGGGTAAATTCCTTCTTTGTATCAGAGAGAGGGCAGGTTTGAAAGATTTCCACTTTACACAGAGATGGTGAAATCACTCCCCTTCACCTGCACAGTTCCTTGGTTTCATTGCACAGACCCTGATTAGGTGCAGGTGAGAGCCCTCAGCAGGTAGAACCACGAGGACCTCGAGGGGTTAGAGCCTGCCTTGCCCCGTGGGAGGATCTGAAGTGGCACTGTGTTAAATGACCCTCAGGAGCTGAAAGTGGCAGGCAGGAAGCCAAGACCTTCTGCAGCACAGCCCTTATCCCTACAGGACACAGTGCTACAGGCTAAAGGAGCCCTTTTAATGGGATGCCAAAGCATTTATCTTTAGGATAGAGACCTCTTGTAAACACATCATATTGTCTTTAAGTGGTGGGGAACATCAAACAGAGCTCTGGGAACCCATGGACATGCTGGATGAAATACAGGCAGTCTTTGAGGTGATTTGCCACAAGTTACTTCAGGAGTTAAAACATTCTTGGATCATTTTTTTTACCAAAGGGAATACTATTTGTGGAGCCAAGCCCCTCTTCACACCCCAGTAACTGGGAACAGATTTAATGCAGACAAAACCCAGACATTTTATGGAGTCCCCTAATAGACACAAGAGATCATTAACAAGTGTTAACAGAAGCTGTTAGTCTTTACAATCTAATAGCTGGCAGGGCTGATGTAAGAGCTCCAAATCCACCACACTGTCTCCAGTTATCTCCTCTGAGTGACGTATTTTGCTGTTTTGCAGCCGGGGGTGAAAGTTTGGGCAGCACGTCCCACTCTTCAAACACGTCTGTGTGCAAGTGGGGCACACCTGTGCCCACAAAGAGGTGAAAGCCAGAGGCTGCCTCTCCTGTTCTGCTGCTCCAGCTCGGCTCCTGGAAGCAGGAGTTGGATTCCCTGAGAGACTGAGCCCATACCCACTCACAGAATTCACAGAGTGACCAGGCTGGAAGAGACCTTCAAGATCATCGAGTCCAACCCAGCCCAAACACCTCAACTAAACCCTGGCACCCAGTGCCACATCCAGGCTTTGTTAAACACACCCAGGGATGGTGACTCCACCACCTCCCTGGGCAGATCATTCCAGAACTTTATCACTCTTTCAGTGAAAAACTTTTTCCAAATATCCAACCTATATTTCCTTTGGCACAGCTTGAGACTGTGTCCTCTGGTTCTGTCAGTTGCTGCTTGGTGAAAGAGGGCCATTCCCTAATGCACCTGCAGCACTGTCCCACCACAGAGATTTGGTTTGGGAGTTAGAACTCTAACAGCCCCCCATTATTCTTACTCCAAAACCCAAGCTAAGCCTGGAGGTTTTTTATTTGTTCCTAATGTGTATCAGATTAATTGGGGTATTCAGAGAAAGTGTGATCTAGCAAAAAAGCCAAATATTTTATAGAAATGTTCACTTGGATTGAACTCCTGGTGGAGTCTATGCTACAGACCCATGGTAAGGGAGCCACCTGCCCTCATCTCCCATGGCTGAGAACAAGCATTTGGATGGATAAGGATTCACTGCATGACTGCAGGTGTGAAAGCACATCCCATTTCTCCCACCTTTCCAAAAAATCCCAACATTTACTCTCAAGACAGCCTTTCCTCAGTGCTGAGTGAGCTACACTGGCTTCCATCACATTCTCTGCATCTTCAGCCTCTGAGGGAGCATCCCTTGCTCAGGGGATGCCCAAGTCCCAGTGCTGAGGAGGACGTGAGAAAATGGCTCAGAGCAGCCCCAGCTGCTCATGGTAGAAGGCAGAAATATGGCTCTGGAAACCCCTGGGAGCACTTAGCTACTGATCCTTGTGTTTGATGAGACATAATTGCCATAGAGTATTTGAATGTACTGATTTCCTTTAAATCCATTGCAAAATGCTCTCTAAAACAACCTTCAAAGTCTTCAGACCAGAAAACTCTAAAAACTAAATCCACCAGGCAGTAAAAGAAGTTACAATTCTGACTCCATACTCTGAACACTCACATTTAAGCCCTACACAAAATTACACAAGCACTTGGGACCAAAAACCAGGATCCAGTAAAGATTTATGTCCGCAGGGGAACATTATTTCTTGTCCTTGACAGCACTGAGCTTTATACTATATCCTGCAAATAAATCATATCTGCTGCTTCTGGAGCACAGCTGTCAGCCTTGGCTGCAGGAATACATGGGACACAAAAGCAGGAATTAGGTCCTCCAGAAGGAAAAAAAAACCCAAAAAAACAACTCAATGGGTGCTGCAGGTGTCTGTTAACTGGTTTCTGTTTGCTTTAGCAATATACTCACATTAACATACAAAAGTGATAATAGATCTTCCAGATTACACAAGAATGTTATATATTGCTTCCATATGACCAATCATTCTGTTTTCAGTCTGGAAATCTGTGGTGACCACAGATTTTGCAATCTATTCTGCACTCTTTTAAAGAAAAGGAATGGCAATATTTTGTGACACTATTTTAAAATGTTTCTGTCTTATGAAATTTGCCTTCATATAGCACACAAGAGATTTCTATTAATTAGAATGAAGATAAATGAAGTGAAAAAGGCTATGAATGATATTATTCATATTTAACAAAATAAAAATCAGTTGTTCTGATTTCATCTGTATTAACATTTTATGAGTTTGGGGGTTTAGTTTGGTTTTGCTGGTTTGTTTTGGTTTTTTACTTTAAAAAACCCCAACAGTTCATAAGTCTGTCTTGTTTAAAATTGACTGGTCTGGGAGAAGCACTGGGTGGACCCAGCACAGATCAAAGAGCCCAGCACCAGTGTAGTGTTTGAGAGACTCAGTAAGATGAGAGTACTGCCACAGTGTCTGCTGCCCTGGCTGCATGGCAGATGCCTTGTTTGTGCCACCTTGGACACTTTTCTGGATTAATTACTTTGTTAAATCAGAAACATATATGATGGAACCAATTAGCTTAATGGCATCTTGTCAACAACCACGGGTTAGCTCAAACATCTGTAGGGCACTATGATATTGTCACTTTAAAACACAAGGCAGCAGTGGCTACGTGCCTTACATAAAATCCTGGCCTGCTGAAGCAATGAATTGTGCCTTTTCACGTACCAAATTCCAAACTTATCAGGCACAGAGCCATAAGAGATAAGGGAAAAATTGGGAGTTTTGTTGTTATTTTCTGAACACTTAGAGCTCTGCTTTCACAAGATGGGCACTGTGCTGTTCATGGAGGACTGTAAGGGCTGTGCTGAGAACTGCAATTGCATTTCTTGCAAAGCACAGAGCTGCACGAGCCCTTCCCACAGCAGGACACAACAAACCCTCAGACACCTCAGATGTTACCAAGCAAAAGATGTCCAAGCTTCCTCACCCAGCCCAATTACTTAGTGGGGAAAACTAGACAGCTTTTCATCACCATGGTCACTCCAGAGCCAGGTTTTTATGTGCCTAATCCCTCCTGTTCTCTGCTTCACACTGCCTGTAACACATTTAATGAAGCTTGAAGCTGGATCTGTGCTATACATAACATTTATAAAGAACTGGAAGGAGAGAATCACAATGTATTTGTAGTACAGATTTTTCTCTTGCTGCATTTTCACCCAATGATACCCTGGACACAATAAAATACAAGGACAGGGTCTTTATCTGGAGCAAACACAAAGTAAACTCTACCAAGTACAATCTAAACACAAAAATCTCTTTTCCTGATCAAGAAAGCATTTGAAAGAATGTCAAACAGATGCCCCAAGAAAATTACTTCCCCTGCCTCTTTTCTCATCCCAAACCCTTATTATTACTTTTTGATTGATTTTTTTTGGCTCTTACACACTCTCATGCTGATCTTCTTAGGTGGGCTCTATACAACCTTCCCAGCTTTCTTTCATCCCTCTAGTGTTCTTGCCAATAAATTATTCTAGTTTTATGAAAGATTTCTTTTTTATTTCATAATCATTTTCTCTTGATCCAAAATGAACTAAAACTCAGTGGTTGGGTGTTTTGTTCTTTAATGCAACACTTGGTCTGCCAACAGCCTTGAAAATGTATTTCAGCCTTCTCTGTTTATTTGAAAGCTGTTTCTTCCAAGAAGGCTAAGAATAATGTGGTTACCATAGTTTCCTTATCCACAACCAATAAAATGCAACTTGGAATACAATAAAACAAAGCTGAGACTACTCACAAAATGTGACTGAATGAGTGAACACTGAAATCTTCACCCTACATCACTCCTAGCACTATGGAAAACACTCAGGTCTAATCAATAGCCCCCTTTTGGTCCAGCAGGGAAGAGGAGGATAAGCCTGTCCAACTATCAGCTATTTGAGATATTTCAATTCCAACACTGAAGATGTCTGCTGCTTTGGAATTCCCATCTCACAGATTCAGTGTTTCACTGCAGAGATTTTGTACTTTTCTGTAATCTCTTGTTCTGGGAAGCTTTGCTGAGGCTCACTGGAACCAAGTGATGGATTAATTACTGCTAGGAACAAGTTGACAAAGTAAATAATGAACTGTTTGTTCTTACAGTTTTGTTGGCTCCTGAACAGGCAAGATTCTAGGGAACAAGCCAAAAATAATCTTTTTTCTTTCAAGTCAACTGGCCAACAAAACCCCATATATGCTTCATAGATTATACTAATTACACCTGCTTTGGACACATCCATTTGCTTTCCTGATTACAAGTGATGGGATTTTACTCTAATGAAATGAACTTTTAAGAAATGAAAGAAAAGCATTTGTTCTCAATAATAATGAATAAAGAAAGAACCACCACGTGCATGATGGTGAGACCTGCTGGCAAGTTTAATTTTTTTCTGATTTTAAAAAAGGAAGGGAAGGGAAGGGAAGGGAAGGGAAGGGAAGGGAAGGGAAGGGAAGGTACAGAAGATGTCCTGTTTAATGCAAGCACCTGAGTGGGAGGGAAGCAGAATCCTCCTCCCACAGACTCAGTGCATGCTTTGGGACTGACCCCTCTGGTGCCTGGGACTCTCATAAACACACCAGGTAAATATGGAAGAACACAACTCAAGATTTTCTGCTGTCCTGCTCATGTTTTCTTGCCAGTAACACCAGCCCAAGATCGCTGAGTTTAAATTAAAAAGCTCTGACCATGGTTTGATAACCCCTGGATGTAAGCAATAGGAAAAGAAAATAAAGCAACTCCCTTCCTTAGCCAGGGCTGTAGGTGGGGGTTCTGAGCAGTGGGAGCAGGAGAACTGCTGGAAGAGCATTTGCTGTTGTTGTTTTTGAAGAAAAGCTGTTACCCTCACTGTGCAGCTTTCTGGAGCTTTCTCAGACCCCAGAAGCACCATCAGTGGGTGTATCAAACACACACACTGAGAGCCACGTAGTTTCAGTTATAGCTTAGCACAAGAAAACATAACACTTCTTTCATCCCTGCTTCTCATCTTGGGAAGGTCACGTGTAGGTAACAGAGCAGAGGAAAGAGAGAAAAAGGTGTAGGAGTTCAAGAGATCACTCATGTGGTGAACATGCTCCCCTCTTTCAAGTTCACCTCACAGAAGAAGCATTCTGTGTGTAGCAGGATGCCAGCTCTAATGCACAGGATAAAAACCAGTACTTTTTCAGGCAAAACATCTTAGATCTGTTAGTGTGATGCTCATGGCATCGCTTAAACCAAGTACGTTTTTAACCTGCTGAGGTCAGCTTAATCAGGATCAGCACTATAAAAGAAAATAGCTAAAAACAGTGACTAAAAAGACAGGTGTTGCATTAAGGTAGAAAAATTATAAAAAAAAGGCCTCATAAAATCAGGCCTACTCTGTTTAATTGATAGCTAGCCTGTCATTTATTCTAAGCAAAGCTAGCACTTTACAAATTCCCATGTGAAAGCAATCCTTGTGTGAGCAGTTCCTTAACACAATCTATTCCTAGGTGAAAAACAGCTAGCACCTACATAAACATTAAATCTATCCCACGAGAACCACTGAAGAAAACACATAAAGTATTTAAGAGTAGAGAGATTTGATAGACAAGTAAAATACCTTTTACTAACCAATTAAGTAATTAGCAAGAAAGCTACTAACCAATTAGAGTCACACACAAGGTCTGTAACACTGTATAAAAAGGAGTGAATATGTGAATAAAGAATGGGCTTTTTCCACCATGAAGAAATTGGAGTCCTGTGTGATTTATTTCAATAGGCAGAACTTTCACATCCCCAGAGTGAATATACTGGGGAACAGGAAGAAACAGCAAAGACCAAACCTGTATCAAACTTTGCACCCTCCTTACCTATGACTAAAGAAACAGGTAGGCCAGGGATTTTTTTAACATTTCCATTATGCCTTCAGTACAACACACTCCAAGTCTGAACTTGTTCATTAATGTTTTTAACAAGTTCATTAGTGCTTTTAAACTTCTCAATCAAAAACACCCAAGAGGAGAGTTCCTGTGGTTCTGCATCACCTTGGGGATGGGTAAGCATCCTGATGGACAGCCCAGCCCCTGCTGTCACCTGGCTGCAAATGGTGCCCACAGTAAATGACATTTAAAGCCCCATCTGCTGTGCCATGACCAGCTTGGCTGTGGTTCCAGAGCCAGCACCAGCAGCTTGGTTGTGGTTCCAGAGCCAGAACCAGCAAAAGCAGCTTGGCTGTGGTTCCAGAGCCAGCACCAGCAGCTTGGTTGTGGTTCCAGAAGCAGAACCAGCAGCTTGGTTGTGGTTCCAGAGCCAGAACCACCAGCCTGGCTGTGGTTCCAGGGCCAGGAGCTTGGCTGTGGTTCCAGAAGCAGAACCAGCAGCCTGGCTGTGGTTCCAGAAGCAGAAGCAGCAGCCTTGCTCTGATCCCAGAAGCAGCACCAGCAGGCTGGCTGTGTCCCAGAAGCAGCAGCACCCTGCCCCGCCTGGCAGGGCCAGCAGCAGCACACACACCTCGTTGATGGCCAGCTGCTCGCCGCCGCCCCCGGGGTGGCCGTAGCGGTGGTTGGAGCTGCGGAACTCCTCGTACAGATCCTCCTCGCTCCCCACATCGTCCGTCAGGGCTGTCTTGTCCAGGCCTCCATCAGTGATCACTGCAAAAGCAAAATGCACACATTGGCTTGGTTGTGGTTCCAGAAGCAGAACCAGCAGCTTGGTTGTGGTTCCAGAGCCAGAACCACCAGCCTGGCTGTGGTTCCAGGGCCAGGAGCTTGGCTGTGGTTCCAGAAGCAGAAGCAGCAGCCTTGCTCTGATCCCAGAAGCAGAACCAGCAGCCTGGCTGTGGTTCCAGAAGCAGAACCAGCAGCCTGGCTGTGGTTCCAGAAGCAGAAGCAGCAGCCTTGCTCTGATCCCAGAAGCAGCACCAGCAGGCTGGCTGTGGTTCCAGAAGCAGCACCAGCAGGCTGGCTGTGTCCCAGAAGCAGCAGCACCCTGCCCCGCCTGGCAGGGCCAGCAGCAGCACACACACCTCGTTGATGGCCAGCTGCTCGCCGCCGCCCCCGGGGTGGCCGTAGCGGTGGTTGGAGCTGCGGAACTCCTCGTACAGATCCTCCTCGCTCCCCACATCGTCCGTCAGGGCTGTCTTGTCCAGGCCTCCATCAGTGATCACTGCAAAAGCAAAATGCACACATTGGCACTCAGCACAGCATTAAAAAAAAAAATCAATAATAAAAAATATTTCTTCACATCACCCTATGTATAAAACCAATTTTTTAAATATAGCACTTCTAAAATTTCATCTACATTTAATTCTATTTCTCTTCAATTACCACAAAAAGTATTTTTCATTTACAAAAACAAAACATAACCTATTATTCCATCAAACATTAAAAATAATGCATATAATTTTAAAGAACTTACATTATTACATCCTAATATTAAAATAATTACCCATATAAAACACACAGAAAAAAATCCTTTATCCATCAATATAAATCAAAATTAAAAAAATAACTTTAAACCTTAAAACTTTTAAAAAAAACCAAACAAAAACAGAGTGGCAGCCCACTGGGGCAAGGAGCACCATAATGCAGCATAAAGGGAAAAAAGACAAGGAAACTAGAGGCAATTTTGGGTCAGAATTCCACCCTCATGCATGCCTGTTCTTCAGAGAATTTTTCTCCCCTCATGTTTTACCCTCCTAAATGATTGTGTCTTTCTCTAGACCAGAAAATATGATTTAAAAAAAATTCTACAACTGCCGCATATTGCAAAGGAAAGACCAAGCAAGAGTAGCAAAACAAGGTCTGAAAAAAGGCACAGGGTAACGATGACACAAATGTGATTTTATTAGGACCTGGCTGTGGTGACAGGAAACTGGACTAACAAGTAAAAGTAACAAGCAGCTCATGCCTGCCACTTCATACCTTGAGGGTTATGATTTACCAAATCCTATCAGGTCAAAGGAAATCTCAGCCTTTGGGAAAAACCTTCACCTTCCTCTTTGTCCACACACTTATTTGAGAATCCTTTGTGATGCCTAAAAGGGTGTTTGTTCCAAAATGATCCAATGTCACCACAGGAAGGCCATTCTGCTCAGCACAGCCCCCAATAAGCCACAGATAATGGAGGGTTCACAGTCTGCTGCTACAACAAACACTGAAATCTCAAACCAGAGAAAAATAAAAATGTGGCATTTTTACTCCTTGCACAGAAGAAAGTGTCACTTCATCTGTTTCATGGGCAGGATCTTTTTCCTACAGTCTCCTTGAGGGAGTAGCAAATACCCTACAGTGCCATGTAGTGTCATTCACCCCATCCCTGTACTGGTTACTGAACATGAACCTTCTGTTCTCCAATCTGTGAAAAATGGCAGTGATTAAAGAAACCAATTGCTGACATATTCATCTGGATTAGCAACTGCTAGGGCAACAGTTTCCATGACAAAGCAGTGGGCTTGACAAAGATTCCTGTGCATGAAGCAAGCACCTACACAGACATGGTGCAGAGAACAGCTGATGTGAATTGTAATTTTAGTAAATGGATTGACATGGCTACAGGAGTAAAACTGAATGAAAACAGAGACATTACTATCAGCACACCTGGCAACAGTCTTGGCTGTGCAAGTTACATGATGTGACCCTCCAAATTTTTGCAAAACAGGTGAAAAAAATCTTTTGAGCTTGACCTTGTAGAGCTTTAATAGGGAGAGACTCACAAACCTGGTCTTGAGCCCTCCTTTCCCTTCATAATGCAAGTGCATGTTATGCACCTAATTGTGCCATTGGGTCAAAAATGCACCCCATGATTTATTAGCTTATTAATTACCTGAAACCAAAGCTGCACCACATTAGCACTGAATGAAGTGCTGACAGAGGTTCCAGCCAGACCTGCAGAGTTTGTCCTCATCAACACTTTCAGTACATGGGGTGGTTTGTTAAGGCTGCACCACCTGATCTCTGCTATTGCCAGTGAGGTGTAAATTCAGTGTAGCAGCTAGCAGTTCAAGGCAGTGACCTGACATCAAAATGACAAGTATGAGCTATTTTTAAATTAAACACTTGCTTGTTTATGCTTTGAATTCAATCAATAGGCACAACATAACAAAGATTGTCTGAAGCTGGGACTGCACTTGGTACTGATGGCAATTCAGGACACAGAGGTGCATATGAGCTTATGATTAAAGCAAATTTTCTGAGCAAGTATGGAACTACCCAACCATTCAACTTTAAGTGACATTTCACCAAAAAAATCAAGCATTCCCCTAGCTTTGCTCTGACACCTCACATCGTTCATTATACAGAAATTCTGCACTGAATAAGTGCCAGTAGTAGAGATTGCATATAAAGCAATTCTGGGGTTAAGACCTAGTCCATTAATATAAAACTCAAAACCAGCTGGAATACCACTGATATTATAATTTCATGCAGAGTTACCATGGTTGGAACTTTAAAAACTAAATGTAAGGGCATTAAAGAGATCACTTTTTGCTCATACACTGTCTGAAAAACCTTTGTCTGATAGTAATGAACAACTTCCAGTGTGACAGTGTAGCACAGAAACAAATTAGAAACATTTTTCAAGAACAAATAAAAATAAATCATTTATAAGAAGTCAGCAGTCACTTAATTCAAAACTCTTCTGCAGCCTTCTGATCTCATTCTTTCCCCTTATTTTACACATGGCTTCATTGCTTTCCCCTTACACATCTTCTGCTATTTTCACTGCTGAAAGTAACCTTCAGCTTGAAAAATGTTCATTGGCATCTTTAAAGCTTTTGTTTTTTGCCCCCACATTTTCCTACTTGTTCTCTGATCTGTGCTTAGATGAAAAAGCAAAAGCTCCAGGGAGGTATTTATCTGTGTTACTTAAAATGCTCTATACCTCTGCTAAGTGCCTTGAAAGCTGTGCTTGCTTTTACTAGAGATCTGTTTTTCCTCTCTGATCTTACCAAGCTCATCAATTCTCTGCTGTTTCAAGACATGCCACTGCATTTGGGATTAGCTTTCCTGGCAAAAAAAAAAAAAAAAGTCCTTATAGACATATTGCACCAAAACTCTACTCCACAAGCATGAGAACGTTCTCAGTCCTTGAGGAAGAATGGTCCAATACAGCCATTGCACATCTTCCCAAACTAATGCTGGAGGGAAGAATTAAATTAATGAAAAATAAGAATTTGCTCTGAAGCAGGTTAGATGAAAGGCATGACCACAAATAAATAAAATAGTAGTCTGGATTGGTGACCCAGTGCACTAGAAAGCCATCAAGGAAGCAGGAGAACGAAGGTTTTTAGTGTAGGAACTGAGTTAACGTGCAAAGCACAAACTAGGTCAAGTAGAAAAGAAGCAAGCACTATACAAAAATCTTAGAAGACAAGTTAGCAGAGATTGCTGAAACAGTCTGTGAGCCTGCCCACAGCACAGCACTGCCTGGACAGGCCACTATTCAACTGCACAGGGGCTAATTCAGACGCTTCATTCCTGCCACCTCCGAGTGCTCATCTCTGTCTGACACTGAAATTCAGTGGCACAGCCAGGCCTGGCCTCTCTGGAACACTGACCTGACCTGTCCTGTCCCTCCCTGACAGTCAGGCCCCACCAAGGAACAATGTTCTGTCAAAAAGTAAAGCCAAGCAGCAATTAACTCAAGCAGATTTCTTCATATTTATACCTCTGTCCTGATGAATTTCACTAAATATGGCAACAAATCCCACACACAGGATCAGAGGGAGGGGGAGTAACCAACGTTTAGTACTACAGCCAATATGTGCAAGAACTAAAACTCTGTTTCACGCTGCTGTTAGTCCTAGCCCAAGCTTGGGATTTATGTCATTACAGTACAAAAGCAGATGGATAACGCTAGCAAGAGCAGCTCACAAAAGAATGCCACACAAACTCTTTTTTTAATGCATCCATACAGAAAAAGTGTCAAAAACCTGACTCCATGAAGAATTATCTTGGGGATGTGGAACTTCCAAACTCATACAAAACGTGTCACTGGAAGCAGGGAGTGGCACAGGTGCTCTGTGTGCCTGAGCAGGCAGCACTGGGGCTGCACCCAGGGACAAAAGGGAAGAGTTCTGTGCAAATCAAGTGAAGCTTGGTCAGGATGGTCCAGGGGAAGGGCTCGCCCTGCCCACACCTCCCTGAGGAGTTTGGAATGCAGCTATAAGCAGGCAGCAGTGGGAAGGGTCCTGGCTGGGCTCTGCTTGTGCCCCTACCTTGCTGAAAGGTGATGCCAAGCAACTCTGAGAGGTACTGGCACACAATTCCAGGGCTCTCCATGCCACCAGAAAGCCTCTGGAGCTGTTACCAGTTCTGTGGCTTCACAGGAAAGAGCACTCAGTGCCCAGAGGGAGAGACAAGCCTGGCTGAACATCCCATTGCCACCCTGTCAGTGCAACTGCATCCTGCTTGGAGGTAAATTGGGCAATTGGAAGGCAGCTGCCTGCATGGTGGGATTTTCACAATCAAGCCTAGGTGACACTGGAGAACAAACCAGCAGGGCTGCACTGGGACAGCCTTGATCTTCACCACCAACAGGGATGGCAGGGAGGGGAAAACAGAGAAAAGGTTTTGTGCTGTTCATCAAACTGGTGGGAAGATGAAGTTGGAATTGGATGATCTACTGGAGGTCTCAGAAAACAAACGTTAACTGCAGTCCAGAGTTCAGTTCAGACTAATGTCACCTAGTGCAGGTCATGCAGTTCCACACATCTGTCCTCTGCTCCTCTCTCAAAGGATGGACCTCCCTCACACATTCCATGTGCCAGGAATTAGTGAGCACAAGCTGCTGTCAAACAATCAAAAAAATAAAAAGCTCAAACAAAACCCCAAACCAAAATAACAGCCAAAACCACCCATACACCTCCACTATATTAAAAAAAATAAATAAATTAAAGGAATATAATCCCACCCTCTCACTGGAAAACTATTCTCACTGAATAAATTTCTAGAATAATTTCCTTGGAGGAGTTGGACAATACAGCCCCAAATTTAGCACAGCCTCTTAACAGAGCTCTCTCAAACTCACAGAGGTTTATGTCTCAGCTGGAACAAACCCCAGCAGCTCCCCAGTGGTGAGGAGCTCCAGACTTGTGTCTGGGTCACAAGCCTGAACAATGACCCAGGACTGAAGGAAAATGGGCTAGAGGCACTTTCCCAAAATGT